ATGTTGATATGAGTCCCTCTACAACAATAGAGATAAATATCTCAACTGTCATTTAGGGTGAAATGGCATACAGTTCTTCAAGCCTGATGATTCAGACATCGTAATCTCCCAACGATGAGGAAGACAGAGGCAAATAAATTGAGGGCAAAGGGGAAAGAAAGAAAATTGAAAGGAGATAAACTCTCTATTACCTCCCATTTTACCCCCAAACCTGTCTTGATCCATATCTGAGAAAAGCAAAGGAACCATTTACTATTTGTTGCTGGCAGAGCAGCAAGGGATTGGGAAGCACATCTGTATGAGTGTACACTCCATTTGAAGCCAAAGGTAACAAGAAGGCATTAAAGTGTGCCAGTTAGTTTAGTATTTCACTTTATTCTCTTGGCTTAGGTCCTTAATGCACATTGGGATAAAGCACATGGGGAGCTGGGGGGCTTCCAGCCCAAAAAACCAGTGAATTTTAATTTTTTTTCTCCTACCTGCACCCATTTTCAGCCAGCAGTGTGCTCCAACTTCATCCAGCTGGTGTTGCGAGTGGGAAGGAGAGCTGCCCAAGCTCTCACAGCCCCAACTGCATGGGATTTTATAGGATGAGCCTCAAATATGAGGTTTCACTTTTTCAAAATGGTAAAAATCAGGTGGTAGCTATTCTGGTGATAGAGGCAGATGCAGTAAGTTGGTGGGGAGTAACTGCAGGACTCTGTAGTTACTCACTTCATTAAGCCTTAACTGTAACGATTTCAAGGTGCAACCCCAGCACCGTAATCAGATCCCGAGGTGACAAAGGCACAGCTAATTGTAATGAGCCTTCCTCTGAAATGAAAGGCCTGCAGTTTTCTCCCCGGATGCTAATGGTACAAAGCGGAGTCAGAAAATGCTGTCAGCAGGACGCAGGAGAAGCTGGGGGTTCAAGGAGACCCCTGGGCTACGGAGTTTACAAACAAATAGTAGGCAGATGCCATTAACCACAGCTGCTGATTTAACTTCTATTTCCCCTTTCTATTTCTGGCTCGCTCTCAGAGGCATCCCAAGCAAACCCGCACCATCCTGGCCTCAGTGGTACTTTGCTTTCTGTAAAACTCTAATAAAACCATTTATATTTCATACCAGCAAGACCATAGAATCATAGAATTGCCCAGGTTGGAAGGGACCTTTTAGATCATCGAGTCCAACCATCAACCTAACTCTGATGAAAAACCATCACTGAACCATGTCTGTAAGCACCACGTCTACCTGTCTTTTGAACACCTCCAGGGATGGTGCCTCAACCACTTCCCTGGGCAGCCCATTCCAAGACTTGATAACCCTTTCAGTGTCAAAATTTTTCCTAATATCCCATCTGAACCTCCACTTGAGGTCATTTCCTCTTGTCTTGTTGTCTGTTCCTTGGGAGAAGAGACTGACCCCACCTCTCTACACCCTCTTTTCAGGGAGTTGGAGAGAGAAAGAGAGAACAAAATGGAAGAGAGCCAGTGATCAAGATGCAGAGAGCAGCACTGCTCCCTCCTTCCACATGCCAGCCCAGGCTCCACACCGACCCCACCAGCAGTGGGTGGCAAGGACTTTCTTGACCCGTTGGCCTTTCATTCACAGGACTAAAATGGAGAATTAATTGCCAGGGCACACCTGCAGCTGGCGGATGAGTCAGCCCCAAGGGGCTGCTGAGTCAGAAGAACCAAAACAGCCACTGAAGTTGGAAAATGAGCATTCTTGTACAATCCAGTGCTGATGTCCAAGCAGGAAATAGAAATGAACTTTGGAATAAAAGTCAACAATTGCAAATGAATAAAAATGGGAGCAACGCTACCAGAAGCCCTTCATTCTGGTGATGTCATGGTTCCTAAATGCCCTTCAGAAATGCAAATTGCCTACAATGTAATAAAAAGGGCATTTTCTAGAGTGTGCAGAGCTTGCATAGTTTAATTAAGCATAAACTAGGGTGACTCTGGAAAGGAAAATGATGTGGATTGCATTCTCTGAGTGACCTTGGAAAGGCACTTAGATACTTTCTCTACACAGCAATTAAGTAAACTCACACTTCATAGGCTGTCACTCCTATCCTTTTCCTTTATTTAGAAACATATTTTTTGTTCTCCCTGATTCCCTGATCTCACGTTGATTTATCTCTGTGCTTAGAAAATGTGATTTGTTTCCCTCAAGGTAACTAAACATTTGTCTGCAGCCTCACCATCTCTGGTTTTCTAATCTCTACTTCAATATTACTTATATTAAACTTCTGGCACCTGTTTTCCTTGCCTTCCACCAAACTCCATCTACCTGACAGACGTGGCAAAACTGGAATAAGGAGATGCCGATAGAAACTTCTCATCCAATCTTTCCTAGACCAACCTAGTGGCCTTCTGCAATTGAGTGACTACATCAGTGGACAAGGGAAAAGCTATGGATGACATCTATCTGGACTTCTGTACAGATAGACTTCTTGACACTGTCCCCCACAATGTCCTGCTCGCTGAATTGGAGAGACGTGGATTTGATGGGTGGACTGTCTGGTGGATGAGGAATTGGTTGGATGGTCGCATGAACTGTTTCATGCCCTGCTCTGCCTTCCATAGGAGTGACCATCCCCGCATTGCTCTTCGGAAAACGCTTTTCTCTTGGCATCTTGCTGTGACTTTCAAAGAGGAATAGAAACTTCCTGAGGAAGATTTGAAGAAGGTGATAACGGGGTAGGAAAAAAAAAAAAGTTCACCCAGCAAGGGCAAAGAAACCAGGGGAGGGCAGGTGGGGAAACGGTGCTGATTGGGAGCTGATGTTTGATGGAGCTTCAGTGAACCACACCGCAAGGGCTGCTGACTCATAAAAAGGTGGAATACCCAAAAGGAAAGCAATGATCCCGGAGCAATTGCATCCCATTATGGTATGTCAGACATGTCTTTGATTGCAAAAAGCCTATAATTAGTTACAGAGGGTTGCGCTGCTTCTGAAGAAAGAAGGGGAAACAAAAAGAATTATTCCCCGTGTTAGTGACTGGCAGGATCAGTGGATAATGCTCAAGGACTGGTTTAAATAAAATGTATTCACCGCTGATAGATTTAGATTTATTTCTGCAATTTCAGAGTGAATGCCAATGGTTCAGTAAAGTTTAACAAATCTTAAGAGACCCCACAGCGAAGATTTGAGTCTAGGAATTAATTTTAGGGCTTGGTTCCTATCCCCTGTGCATGTAAGGATTAAGTATATTTTGAAAATTATTTTGAAAATTGAGATCTCTGGGTCTCGTGCTAAGAAAGAGAGGAAACAACTGAGTTAAAATGACCCGAAAATCGTAGTAATAACTGCATTACATACTTGCTGACACTAGATGGGGTGTAAGGAAAGAGGGAAGGGGAAAGCCAGGGAACAGCAGCACCTTGGAGCTACCTCAGGCAGAGAAAGAAGCTGAGGTCAACTAAGCTGAGCACGGCTTCCCCCCCAGCTTTCAAAGGCCAAACCCCATCCTAAATGGACAAGGACTCGTTTGCCCATCTTTGTCCATCCCTCTGGCGGTGTGGATCTTCACAGCGTGGATGTTTTAACACACACAAGGCACCATGGTGGTCTCGTTAACTACATTTTATTCATACACTGGAAGAGTACATACATGTGTCAGTAGCATAGATCGCATCAGCCCCTCTTTACTAAAAAAAGCTCAATGTATATACAGCCTTAAAATGCTCCCACTGTAGCTAGCACACTGTATTAAATCTATGCTTATACAAACTGCCGTTCTTTACATAGTTGTATGTATTTTAGAATACATTAAAAATGACCAGCTGGCATGTTCTGTTATCCTTTCTCACCGTCCTGATGGCCTAACGTTTGCAGTAAATTATGGATATGCATAGTTTATTTATCACTCAAAATTATTTCTATTGCAGAACGCGGGGCCGCGGAGACAAAACCGGTGTTGCATTTGGAAAGGCAGAAGTTATTTCCCTGCCCATGGCAGGGGAGCTGCAACTCTCTAAGGTTCTTAAGGTCCCTTCCAATTCAATCCATTCTATGGATTCTATTTCCAATGCTTTGCCATTTCTGCCTCCTGCAGCTTTTCCTTGGGAGCAGGGAGAGCAGAGCAAGGCTCTTTTTGAGATGCAGCCTTTGTTTAATCCTGAGAAATGTACCGTAACCTTTTCTTCACTGACTGTTAGTGTTGTTTTTGGTTTTTTTCCCCCTCCCTTTTTGCTGCTTTGCCCTCCAGTGCCCTAACTCAGCAGAACAGGGGGGCTCCTCCTGCAGCTGGGAGGGATGGTGAGCTGGACTTTCTGACCGGCCCACGCAGCCACTCAGCAGAAGCAGCAGCCTGCCCAAAGAATTCACCTCCCTCACCACTGCCTTATGGTCCCATGTGAACGAGCTAGCCTCCCCTGGATCACTTTATCCTCTTTATTAAGCCTGCCTCTGCAGAGATCGTTTTAATTCGATTCAACTTGATAGCCAAGTCTCCAAAGTCTCCTTGGCTCTCAAAAGAGTACAGCCTCCTGCTATTTTCCAAGCTCTTTTCCACCATCCTCTTGCTTCCCTTCAAGTAAAAAAAAAGTCAAAATCCAGTATCTCTGAACTAGCTTTTAGCTCAGACTGGTGCCCCTTGCTGAGGGAATGGTGCTCACAGTGGGCCCCACAAGAAATGAGAAATGCCCCTCCTCATCAGAATATCTGACTCTATTTATAAAACACGCACGCTCGACAGAAAAGCAATAAAAAAATGCCTTCCCACAACAGAGGTTAAAAAACCCATCACGTGCCAGCAATACCCACTTTAAAAAGTGAACTGGGAACACGGTAGAGAATTGCATTCACTGGCAGACGTATCAATCATCTCTTTGTTTTGTTGCGTTTGTTAGCTCAATCTGAGGAGAGGTATTGCCCAAAACCTGCTGCAGAGGGTTACTTTGCATCTACTGGTCTGGTTGAACCACCAGGACCGACACCACACTGGGACTGGGAGGGCAGAGTGCGATACTTCAGATGGGCTAAGTTGCCAGTGTCATTGAAAAAACACCGCACTGGGAGGGCAGAGTGCAATACTTCAGATGGGCTAAGTTGCCAGTGTCATTGAAAATAAACCCAAGATGAGTACCTCCATAGGAAAAAACCCCCACCTAATGTGCACTTTTAAAACAGAAGAAAATGAGTTATGACTCTGACAGGCCAGTAATAATTTTATTTCACAGCAGCGAGGCGAAATTTGGGGAAGGCTGAGATATGGCAGGTCACTGGCAGGTTACAACTCCTCGTGGGACTCCTTGTGCATAATCCTCTCCCGCAGCACTGCTCACATCTCGGATGCCAGAAAGCCTATGAGAACATCTCTATTTGTGCTAACAGGCCATGTTTCAGGTGTCCAGGGGAAGAAGCGTGAAGCTCTGTCCACAAGGAGCTGGTGAGAGAGCCCTGAGCGTGAGGGAACAAAGGACAGTTTCCTTTCTCTGTCTGCTTTATGCAAAGCTTCCCTATTATCCTCTGCAGAAATGCAGCAGCAAGAGATGAGAAAACAACCTCGTGTGCTAAGTGGTGTGAAAACTTAAAGGAATATATTGTCTAAGTGAACTAAGAAGGGCTCTGATACATAACTTTGTTGGGTAAGGATGGTGGAGAGCCTTTCCATATCCTGACGGAGGCTCTGCGTGCCAGGACTGCCCTATTTTAGGATATGAGACCAAATGCCTTGGTCTGTAGCCACCCAAAACATCAGTGCAGCAATGTCCTCCTGTTCCACCTTCAATGGCTTGGCAACCTGGCAAAAGGCTGGGGCTACCAAGAGGAAACCTTTCTTCTTGGAGACAGGGTTAGCTCCAGCCTGAAACAGCTCCTTGCTTTCAAAATCTGCCTTGGTTTCAAAAGACTTGGTGATACCGAGGTCATATTCAGACCTCAGCCAGAAGGAGGATTCCCCAAACAACAGCTTGTGATGACCAAAACCTGAATTTATTGCTTGTGAGCTGTGCTGAGGGGAGAACACTGGAGAACAAACCGTCTCATTGCCTACAGATGAGCTACAGCTTGGAGAAGGTGAATGTAGATGGTTCAGGCTAAACTTAAGCTGCACCTTCCAGAGTGAGAGATCTCTACAGATTTACTTCTTTAAGCACCCCAGAGTCTACTGGGATCATCAGGAAGAGTGTAAATTGGGGCAAAATGGAGCGGAATACTTATTAAAACAGAAAGTGGAAAGAACTTGTAGTCGATTCATTCATGGTCCCACACAGACCTCTGTTATTATCAGTCTGTGTTAACTTGTGGACATCTCAGTGTCTAGAAGTGACATACCCTTCTTTTCCCAGCAACCCAGCTACTGTGGGCTGGGCTACTGGTTGTGCACAGTTTGTTGCTGAAATAGTGACTAACGGAAGAAAAATGGCAATAGATTCTGAATTTCCCTTTAATCTACAGTGAATTAAAATGATGCCTTGGCCTTACTATAAACCACAAAGATATATTTTGAAGACAGACCTCAAGAAACCAAAACAAAGTGTATTCTGGAACATTCCTGTTCACTTCTATAATTCATTAGCAACCATGAAGAACTGGCTCTAATCTTAAAACTCACTACTAACATGTTCGTTTAAGAGTGAAGATAATTTCTACGCTTTGTATGGCTTACTCTTCGCTTTCGTTATGAGATGTTCAATTCAAGGTAGTTTTCTGGGTAAAACTTAGATCATTCTCTTAGATGTGGACATTAACCCTCATGCACTGTGCTCTCCTCTGGATGGCTGCAGATTGCAAAGTGTCTTTGAAAAAGAATAAGACGGACATGTCATGCAGTAACCAAGTAGATGCAATCCCTGATTAATATGCAAGTTTGAAAAGTTCAGAAAATGTCATCAGGCTCCATAGGTGCACCCTGTTTTTTGGAAAGGTCTCTTTTTGCTTTGTGTATAAATGTCATTCTACGCGAATTTCACTCCAGCAGCTTTTCATAAACTCAAGTCAATGACGATGTGTTCAAATATTTGAGTGTTTCCTTTAAAACTAGAGGCAAAGAAGAAATCTCTTCGATCCGTTGACACAGCCGTGAAGGACCGTGGCGCTTGCACGTAGATTTCTTTAAATAACCTGAAGATCTTCTTTTCCCCGTCCCACTGGTAAATCTGGGAGAAGGTATAGTCACTTCCCAAGGCTAGGTAGTAATTGTTCTTGAAGGAGAAAGGCTGCAGTGTCATGGCTCCTCGGGATGGAAGAGCCTGGATCTCCACAAACTGTTTGCTGTTCCATTTCATAACCCTGGAGTCACCGATGAATCGGGTGAGGGTGATGTACAGGCTGTCTTGCATCCTGAAACTCTTCACAGCCAAGACGTCTTCCATGTTGGGGATTTCGCTGTGAGGGACAAACTTTTTGGAAGCTTTGTTCCACTGGAGTATGATGGGAACCTGCGAGCGGCTGGAGAGGATTAAATACGATTTCCCATCTATATCAAGAAACTCGGCATCGGTGTCCCTGAACCACTCGTGAAGGGACTGGTATGAGTAAAATCCTTTGTTATTCCACTTGTACACTGTTGACAAGCCTGCTTTAGAGCTATCTGCTATGACAAAAAACATTTCACTGTCTATCTCGAAAAGCTCTATATCGTTTGGCTTGGAAATGCGAGACACTTCGATATCCTGGAATTTGACAAACTTTGTCCAGCTTTCGTCATACTTGTAAATGTGTGAGCCACCAAAGAGCTGTGCCACCACCACAAAGACTTGGTCACCAACAAGAATGGCTTTACATCCCACTATGGACTGACCTATTGCCCAAAGGGAAAAAAAAAAAAAACAACACAAAAAAGAACATATATTAGTGCAGTACAAAGCACCCTTTAAAACAGAGAGATTACCAAACAGCCCTCCCCTTTTTATTAGCACAGTACAAAGAACCCTTTAAAGCAGAGAGATTACCAAACAGCCCTCCCCTTTTTTAAACCTGCACTCTCTCATAATTTTGTCCTCTGCTACACACTGCCAGAGCTTCTTTTCATGCTTTTTTCTCCCCAATAACTGGAAAGATTGCTTCACATATTGGAAATGTCACACCCCTCATGGTGTGCAAGTGTGACTCACTCTAAAATGCTCATTCCTTTTTGTCCAGAATAATTTTTCTTTCTCTGTTTGTTTCAAACACAAGCCCCCTAATATCCAAAACAATTATTTAAGCCAAATTTTATTATTCAAAAATAACAAGAGTTGTTTTCTCATGACTCAGCAGGAATCTGAAATTCTCTTATTCTTGGAACATCAACCTTTCCAGCTTAACTAGAAGAATGAAATAGGGTCTATTTTTCTTGCTCCATGAGGGAGCAAGATATTTTTGATATTGTAAATAGAAATATTGATGCATCTTGTGGATGTATCACCTGACAGCAGGACGAAAAAGTAAAACCTAACTCTCTTGTTTCTGTTAAGTACTCTTGAGATTACATTAAACTAGAAATATTTAGGAATATTGGAGTTGCCAGATTAGATCAGATGGGGTTATGGTCTGCTTTGAGAATGTCAAGTCACTGTACAAGAACCATATCCAAAAAAAAGTAACAACCAGACTATTTATGCAAGGTTTTGTTGGAAGAAGAGAGAAATTCCTCCCCAAAGCACACAGTTTAAGTAGAACTGTAGCTGCACAGATTACCCTACATGTTCTTGGCCACAGTCACTAGAGGAGACTTGCCCGGTCCCCTACCCATAGCTGTTTCACAGCCAGCCTGGGATGGTCTGCCACACCAGATGCACCCTTCAGACCTGTTTCCTTCTATGTGCAGTAGATTATTTTTGCATCCTACTCCATGAAGTCACTCCTGTCCAAATATTACACGCTTTGATCTGCTGAATTCTGTAGAGATTCAGCACAAAACCCACCAACTGGTCCCATCTACAAATCTCACCCTTGTGAAACACCAATAGTTCACCAACGACTGGAATCCCAGCGTTCACATACCTGTGATATTGTCATAACTCCTGAAATTCATCTCAATGTGATCCCACTCTAGCACCATGCAGTTCTCCATGCTGGGTTGCGCAATGGCTACGAACACATCATTCTTTGAGTTGAAGGTGTCCACCGAAACGGACTGGTAGGGCAAAATCTGATGAACAACAAAATCTGGAAACACACATTGACAAGAGTTAGGATCCGTACTTGCTGGAAACACGTCAGCGGTCGCTGATTCTAACAGTTTACACTGAATAATGAGTGAAATACTGTGGATTTTGTGTAATCCTAGCATGGAAGCATCAGCGCTCACGTTAGGCATGCAGCAACAGGGGAAAGCGTCTCCTGCTTCAGGCTTCATAAACTGTCCTCTAGAAATACAGTTGCCAGGGATATCAAATGGGTAAATGGTGGCAGAAATCAGATTTTTCAGCTCGGCTGGCTGGTATCAATGAAATCAGGGTATCGAGAGAGAAGCCTCTTTCCCCACAGCTGGAAGTTGCTTTCCCGTCAAGTGAAATGGCCTTGCCAGAATCACTCTCAAGCTGAGAGACAGCAACTTCCAGCTGAAGTCCAATAACTTCTTAAGTCATGCAAATTTAATGGCTAGCAATTTGTGTTATGCTAAACCAGGCAGAAAGCGAAACGATAATCTGAAGTTTGCCTGGGGATAACCCCATTTTGGCTAGACCATAGACAAAATGGTGTAATCAAAAACTCAGTTAACATAACGTTTTATGGGGCGTTGTAAAGTAGTTTAGGCATAAAATACAACCAACCTGCAAGTCACTACCCATTGGGAAATATATTCTAGATACTAAGACTGAGGAGCTGGAGCAACCTGTAAAGACTAAGGGTGTAACTCCAAAATTCAAGGTTTCTTCTCAAAATCCAAGTGTCTTTGTGGATTTAACTCTAAAATTCACCCTGGGCTATGTCAGCAGTCAGCATAGAGCCAGTTTAGGGCAAGGAGAGGGGACCTCATTGCCCTCTACAACTCCCTGAAAGGAGGTTGTAGGGAGGTGGGTGTTGGCCTCTTCTCTCAAGGGAATAATGACAGGAGCAGAGGAAATGGTCTGAAGTTGCAGCAGGGGAGGTTTAGATTAGATATTGGGAAGAATGACTTTCCTGAGAGGGTGGTCAGGCACTGGAACAGCCTGCCCAGGGAGGTGGTGGAGTCACCATCCCTGGAGGTATTTAAGATGTGGCTCTTCAGGGCATGCTCTAGTGCCCAAGATTGTTGGTTTGTGTCTCTTTGTGGTGTGTTTTGTGTTTGTTTGTTTGTTTTTGTGGTTGGACTCGATGATCTCAAAAGTCCCTTCCAACCATGAAGATTCTGTGATTCTGTATGTGATCTTTGGCCAGACTGCTGGACAAGGTCATTATTACCAGAAAAAAGATAAAAAGTATGGCCAAGCTGACAAAGAAAAGCCACCCCTTGGGTCTGGAAAGGGGCAGGAGGCCTGCCCTGAACTTATGTGTGGATATAGGTATATGGAAAAGGAAATGTATCTTCTGCCATGATGGAGTTTCTCTGCAGAACCACGCACCGCTCCGTTTCAAGCTCCATTTGCCACGTGCCTTCACCGCACGCTCCTGCGCCCAAAAAGGGCCTGAGCATCCAGGGAGTCTGGTGAAATGGTAATTAAGTCCTCACTCCGGTCCCTCGTTTTGGTGCATTACAAAATAATTGTTTTCTGAATGAAGAACCCTCTGTCTCTGCATGCTTGAAAGCCTTGCCCTTGAGGAGCTGCACTTCTGGAGAATAAAGATAGATGACTACCATTAAACAAACAGAGCGGGCTCTACAGCTGCAGAAGAAATGACAGTCTCCATTCTTCCAGGGGCTGTTATAAATAGAGTTTGGGCTCGATTCATAAATGCTGGTAGGAAAACAAGAAAGTTGTCTTCATTCTTGCTGGGAAAATAAAAGAAACGGTGAAAACTGACACTGAAGTATGCAGAAAGTGAAAGCGAGTGATAAATCATGAAAGGTAGCTAAGGCTGGGACAATAGCAGATACAGTCACGGAAAATCAAAATATTTTTTTAAATTTTGAGGGGAAGAAAAAGCAAACCCACACCGGAAAAATCTAACGCTGAAAAAGACATCTCTTGAAATCTGAACAGTTGTGAAACTCTGGGGGAATGTGTGAATTAAAACAAACCAGTCTGTGAGTTAAAACCCACTGCTCATTCAGAAATGACTCAGTGTTAACACAGCTATTTTTACTTGTACCTGTCATCGGGCTCTTCATGTCACTGGATGAGTAAATATGGGTAATAAAACCAGCCGTAATCAGTAAAAAGCCATCGAGGCTGTTTTTAGCACCAGCTGGAAATACCAGACTGCAGCGGGAAACAGGGTTACACAGTAAAGTGATGCTCCCCCATCAGGCTTGCCAAAAATTTAGGTCTTGGGGGCTCGATTTAGTTTTACAGGCAGATCCTCATGCCTTACTTGAATGCTAGAAAGAGCTCGTACAGTAAATACAGGGTTGGGGGCGGGGGGGGGGGGGGGGTTTTCCCAACATTTTTACACAATCATATGGGGCTGTAAATTGCTAAAGTTGGTTGCTATTGAAAATGAGACACTGTTGAGAAAAGAATCTCATGAAATAACCCACTTATTTTAAGACAGGCAAGGTTCAACCCATGTGGCTAAGCTTATCTGACAAACAAACAATGTAATAAACTGCAGAAGATACAGGTGATGTGGTGAATGAGAGAAAAGCAAAGGTAGAGCTCCCTGAAGAAAATGGAGTCAGAAAGGATGTGAGTATTCAGTGTAAGTAAGTTGGGTTTAAGGAGGAGGGTATTTCCCAACATTTTTCTCTTTTCAGCCAGATCAGCTTGCTCAAGAGAGGGAAGGGGACATGGCCCTCACTTCCCTCATGCTGCTGGCTGCACAGTTTTACTTCTCCCTGTCTCAAGACATGCAATTTTAATGCTGGTTTTTTTTGCCAACTGAGGGCTGGGGTGGTCCCCCCCAACCTCCAGCCACCCTCTCTGCCTCTGCCCCTTTGGCTGTTGAACTGGTGTGAGCTGTCGTGGATGAAGGTCCCAACGCTTGGGTGGCTGGTCTGATTTTGGGGCTTTGAGCAACCTGGTCTAGTGGGAGGTGTCCCTACCCATGGAGAGGGGTTTGGAACTCAATGATCTTTAAGGTCCCTTCCAACTCTAACCATTCCATGATTCTGTGATTTCCCCTGCTCTGGCTGATCCCAACATATGGGAGGGTTGGTGCAGAGGGGGAGCAGGCAGGGAATGCTTGAGAATGGTAAAAAGAAAGGGTAGCTGCTCCTAAACTGCATCCTGCAGCTTGGCCACCAGTCGGTTCCCATGGCCTCATGGCCCTTCTTCCCCATGGTGGAGACTTCTACTCCAGGTGAGGCCACCCTGCAGCTGGAGGCATCCTTGGGGAGCCATAAGCCTTCCCTTCCCATCATAACTCTTAATTTGCAAACTACCTTCCTTCCAGCCAGGGGGAAGAGGGGAGGACCACCTCCAGAAGACAGTCTCAGCTAGGTAAAGAAAGAAGAAACCAAGCTTCTGAAGTTCTGTGAGAAGATCTGGGCAAAGCAGGTCCCAGCTTGTTCCCAGTGACTGTGGGCATGCGAGGCCCGTTTTCCAGTCTCCTGAAAGTAAGTCCACAGTCCCCTGCCGTGAGTATGGCCACAGCACAGCCCCCTCACACACTCTTGCAGGAGAAAGACAGGAAAATAAAAGAAATGGCTTAACCTGCCCCCGTGATGCACGCTGTGAGAAATGGGAAAGGGAGGTGCTACCACAAGAAGAGTTAAAAGAGCAGATGACCCACGCTGTGGATGGCTTCCTCTGTGCAGAAGCAATAGGAGCATTTTGTTCTTTGGCTTTTTTGTTTGGTTGGTTTTTTTGTTGTTTTTTTAATTTGGCAGCATGTCTTTACTCCTCTCCTCCTGTTACCATTGTACCAGTGGGTGCAATGAACCGATGGAGCCGCCGAGATGCACGTTTTACGGAGCAAACTGCTTCGTTACCACGTCCTGCATCCAGTCCTGCTCCACACAGAGCACCAGAGACCAGGAATGATGGAAAGACTGATTGCGCCTGGTGAAGGAGGGAAACACGGTGCTAAAGACTCACAGGAGTGAAGGTTGGAGAGAAAGAGCATTGCCCATCACTGGAGAAAGGAGAATACACCTACAGGGTGTCCTGCTTTACTTCAGAGTATGGCATGAGGCTGAGCCTGTCACTCATCAGTCCTCAGGGAGTGGATACAGGCATATTTACATTCCCTTTGTGTCTGGGGGAGGCAATGGCAGAGAAGAAAGAGGCCTGACACCACAGCCTGCCAAGGCCACTGGAGGGTTACGGCTCCAGCAAGGCAGCTTGCAGCTGGGTGCAGGGGACACGGTGCCATCTCAGGGGTGACACGCTCCTGGAGATGTGCATTCCTACTCCATTTATCTCTGGTTTGTCCCTTATGTGTCATTTCTGTGTACAGTCTGTCACTCTTGGACACGCTGTAAGGAGCTCCATGTCTTCTGCACCTTCCACCTTCACGAGGCATGGGAGCTCTGGGGAGCATGGTGCTGCCCATCCCCAGGACAGACACAGCCTGCCAGAGATCAGGACTGGTCTGAAAACATCCTTGACTACCTGAAGAGTGTATTAAAGCTCTGTGCTGTGCTCTAAGAGCCCTTCTCTGATGGCACCTGGACAAATACTCAGCGGGGCCGTAACGCCTTAGCTCCCCAGCAGACTCTGCAGCACGAGAAATTAAGAGTTACGCTCGGCGTAATTTCCTCGCTTACTGCAGACAAAGGGACTAACGTGAAGGGTGAATTTTGCCTGTAGCCACTTCACAGTTAGCTTTCTGGGTATGAAGAGATGGCAGAGGGCAGCGAGGTCAGTGAAGGTCTGAGGAGCAGTCAGATTGGGCTTCTCCTCGCTCACTGCTAGTGCTGGGCAATTGCCTAAACAAGATGATTGAGATGACACGAAGCCTGCTTTTACCTTGGACTTTTGCATCCCAGTGGATTTGCAGCCACAGGTACCAATCTAAGCTACATCGCTCTCCTGTTTCCCACATCCTTTTATGTAGCAGATTATCACCCTTTACCTCTTCTGCTAGTTGAAAAAGACCCTTGGGATCATCGAGTCCAACCATCTACCCTACTCTACCAAGTTCTCCCCTACACCAGATCCCCCAACGCCACATCTAACACCACATCTAAATGACTCTTCATAGTTGCCCTTCATACCTGGTCCTGAAACTTTATTTTACCTCGCTAGTAACCAACTTTTCTACTGCCTTTTAATAATGGTGACTGACTTGATGATAGATAAGAGCTCAAATGCCTCTGATATTACTGTATTGAAAAAAGGCAGAGTGCTGACATCATACACATGAGAGATGAAAACCAATACTCGCAGCTGATATTCTCAGTTACATGATGTGACTACATTTAAAGATAGGTAACAGCGGCTCTTCGGTCATAAAATATGAGCATAACCACATGCAAGTTTCTCTTCACTTCCTTCAGCATGCTTTACATTACCTAAAATAAAAATCAAGATCCTAAACAAGACAGTAGTCGGAATATTATTGGCTATTTCTCTCCAACTTAATGGAGTCCCATAAAGAACTGCCGGCAGTATTGCCGCCACATTTGATGCTATTAAATCGTGGCCTATTGAATAAAGATAACAGATATAGCCACATCATTTGAACTTCTTTTCATTGCTTTCTGCGAAATGCAGAGATTTTGGGAAGCTCATCTGCCATAACTATATGGCCCTATTCCAGACAATAGAAAGCATTCTCTGATGAAAATTAAGTCACAAAGTGAGTCATAATCAAGTCTTTTGGAATATGAATAGTCACAGCTCTTCTCCCATTATCGCTTAATCCAAATAAAAACTTGGTACTTACTTTGGCTTCGAAATGTAATTTTCCCATTTTATGCTTGTTCTAGTACTGGGAAGTGCTTGGTAAGTAACCCTTTCCTCCCCCCAGGCCATGCTCACAGAAGCGAAGGGGTATAGTCTAAACTTCTGATATTTAACCATTTTGTAGTGTGCTTAGAAATATACATTCTGAATACCTGTAGTGGTGCATTCATAATCAAAACTTGTCACATCATTTAACTTCTTATCCTGATATTCTGCTGGACCAATACACAGGACATCAGAAACAGTGGAATTTGTCATCTTTAACCACAAAAACAACCACTTGGCTTTGCAGTCACACTCAAATTTATTTCCCCTTAAATCTCTAAAAAAACACACAGAAATAAACATATTTGAAAAGGTTGATAGCAATATGAATACTACAGAACTATTATCACCTTGACATGCTGAATTTAAAAATATCGGAGCGAATTGGTTTTGAACTGAGAACAGGGAAGTTTCTTAAGTTTTATTTGGACTCTTTTACTGTGGAGTCTCCTTCACTGAGTGTTGTCCTTGGAAAAACTTGTTTAAATCTAGGAAACACGGTCACGTATAATCAGAGCAATAGACCACCGTGATTCACGTGTAAAGTCACTCATGTTTATAAGTTTTCCTAAGGTTAGGACTGTAAAGTAATAAATCCTGAGGGTCTGGTCGTCTGCTGCAAGACTCCTTCCCATGATATACCACTGGCACAGATAAATCCCATTCCTTCACTGAACTGGGGTACCAGAGTGGCCCTGCTGGCACCATTTCTGACTTACATTTAAAATACAGATGTAAGGTTTGTATTTTTAGAGTCGCTGCTGTTGTGGAGTCAATTTATCCTCCCCTTATTAACGTTAAGTGCAATTTCAACACTCTACCTGCCCTTCGATCCCTCGGCAATTTTTGTGGCTTAAAATTATACCTCGCTGTTTGGCCAGGCCAAAAATAGAGGAAGCTGACTAGCAGCTCAGTTAGACAAGAAAACACCAACAGCAAGTCAGCAATGTGCTACAACTGCACAAAAACAAGAAGAAAAAAAAAAGCTTTTTCTTTTTAAAAAAAATAATAGATGCCTTTTACTAAAATACTCTTAGGGAAGACATGCAACAATAACAGGGAAAAAATGTTCAGAGAAACTGTATTTTTAAAATTCATCGTCTCCCTTTCCCTAAGAAACAGTTTGTAGGAAACATGGGAAAGAAGCACAATAAGGCCAGCGTCACGAGGAGCAGCAGCCGTTTGAGAAACAGCAGTTATTTTAGAGGAGACCACCGAGGAAACAATTTTCAACTGAGAAAAGCTAAAACAACCAAATGCACGTTTCTGTCCTGGGCAGGTACGGGCTATGACACCACACAAACCAGAAGGTACAACTCAGAGTGACAGAAGAAGGCAATCAAGAGGAAGATTCTTATTACTTACAGTTCAATTAGAGAGTCTAAATCACTGAAGACATCCCTTGGCAGAGCTTTGAGGTGGTTATTGGCCAGAGAACTAGAAAAGAAAGTTAGAGCTTAGTATAATTGCTATTTCTTGTTTGGCTGACTCTTACTGAGTTCACTTAGAGGTTGTTAATTACCAAGTATTGTCCGGCCACCGGCATCGTTAATAGTTACAAGGAACAGGCACAAATTAACTACTCTCATTCAAGAATGGAGATTGCTTGAAGCTGAGGTAAAAGTAAGATACATAAAGCCCACCCCGGCAGGAATTTTTTTTTTTTAAGGCCAGTTTTTAATTAGTGGAAGGGCCGTTGTTGACAGCAGGAGGAAGCAGAGGGGGTTTCTGTGTAGCAGGGAAACCAGTGGTTCCCCCAGAAGGGTTTTGTTTAAGCACTAATTGCTCCACCAAATGTTAAATAACTTACAGGTGAGTCAGGTCTCGAAGGCCACGGAATGCATTCCTTGAAATGGTTTCAATTTTGTTTCCTTCAATGAATCTAGGCCAAAAAAAAACCAAACCAAAAAGTATGTTAAAATACTTTAATTAACATTATTATTAGCATCACGGGGGGTTTAATCTCCAAATTCAGCACGTTCCTGAGCAGCACCTTCAGACTGAAAGGTGGGGACATCTGGGTGGAGCTGCTCATGTTCCCTTTTCCCCTTTGCTTGGGTGGAGGGCGAGGAAGGACCAGAATGGCACAAGGGACAGTATGGGACATGAACATCCAGCAGAGGAGGAACCAAATCAACAAAGCAAAAAAACCCCCATTATTCCTCTGTTGGTTAATCCTCTCTGATTGTGTCGTGTGAGGCAAGAGCCCTGCGTAGGAGAGGCTTCTGAGATGGACTTCAGAAGCCTCCTCTGCGTTTTAAGACCATGGGGCTGCCCAGGCTGCAGAGGGATGCTCTGATGGGGACCTCCCATGTGGCTGCAGGCACAGTGTCACCTCCTCACCCACCAGAGCCCTGACGTGAGCTGCAGCCAGCCCAATCCTGCATAAATGGCAAGGTCACTGCCTTGATTTTCTTCTTGCTGCCGCGGCTCAGCTCTCTCCCACCGGGATGCCATCTCTGCAGGGCTGCACACAAGTCACGGCCCCGAGAGCTGGGGAATTAATGACAGGCAGGTATCGATTCCAGGAGCAGGCTGCTCCTCCTGCCTGCACGTCAGCGTTTAAAGAAAGAGCTGATATCTGAGCATCTTGACCCCTGAGCACTTGAGGACGCGTCCCCTAAACACACCATCAGCGATGGCAGCCAGGTGGCCATCAAGATATTGCATGGCACAGCTGTACCTGGATGAGGACAGTTGCATGCTGAATTCATAAAAGGTTTTATGAGATAAAAGCATCTCCCTTCCTCCTACACATCTTTGTTTGCCTTCCAGGGAAACAGAGGAAAAATGCTATAAGCCAAGGGAATCAAGATGGGGATGCCCCATCCCTGGAGGTGTTAAATGCCAGGCTGGATGGAGCTTTGAGCAGCCTGGTCTGGTGGGAGGTGTCCCTGCCCATGGCAGGGGGGTTGGAACTCAATGATCTTTAAGGTCTCTTCCAATCCAAACTGTTCTGTCATTATATATATATATATATATATATGTAGGTATCTGCTGTGAGTGCTCCCCAGCTGCTCTTCATCCAGATATATATACATATATGTAGGTATCTGATGTGAGTGCTCCCCAGCTGCTCTTCATCCAGAGATTTTTCTTTGTACACAAAAAAACCCTTGTCATTCTTATTTGTCAGTTCTTGTTCTCACAGAATCACAGAATATTCATGGTTGGAGCTTTGTACACAAAAAAACCCCTTGTCATTCTGATTTATCAATTCTTGTTCTCACAAAACACAGAATATTCATGATTGGAAGGGACCTTTAAGGTCATTGAGTCCAACCGCAAAAAAACAAAAAAACCCAAAAAACCAAAAAACAAAAAAACCCCACCCACAACCCAAACCAACACACAGCAAAAAAACCCCACCCAACACACAGACCCAGACCCACACCACACCCACCCACAGAGAGACAAAAACCACAACCCAAACCAACACACAGACCCACACCACACCCACCCACAGAGAGACAAAGACCAACAATCTCAGGCACTAGAGCATGCCCTGAAGTGCCACATCTACACGTTTCTTAAATACCTCCAGGGATGGTGACTCCACCACCTCCCTGGGCAGGCTGTTCCAGTGCCTGACCACCCTCTCAGAAAAGTCATTCTTCCTAATATCTAATCTAAACCTCCCCTGCTGCAACTTCAGACCATTTCCTCTGGTCCTGTCATTATTCCCTTGGGAGAAGAGGCCAGCACCCACCTGTCTACACCCTCCTTTCAGGTAGTTGTAGAGGGGGCAACAATGTCCCCCTTCAGCCTCCTCTTCTCCAAACTAAACATGCCCAGTTCCCTCAGCCTCTCCTCACAGGACTCGTTCTCTAGACCCCTCACCAGCTTGGTGGCTCTCCCCTGGACACTCTCCAGAAGCTCAATAAGCAGCTTCTCCATAAGGTCTGAACACTGGTAACTGTGAGATGTGAGTTACTGAAGGTGTTAACGGTGTTACTGGCTGCACAGCCAAGAAAAACCCTGGAGAAAGGCCCCTCGCGCCGGGTTCCCAAAAGCTGGAGGTGTGATTTGCTGGGGACAAGAAAAACCCCGGAGAAAGGCCCTTTGCACCAGGTTCCCAAAAGCTGGAGGTGTGATTTGCTGGGGAAGAGGGAAAGCTCTGTGGACTTGGCAGGGAGGGCGACCACAACCACCAGCTGAGACCAACCAGCTCAGCAGCTGCTAAAGGAAATTGAACCTGCAGGGCTTTACCAGGCGTTACTGTTGGCTGCTCTGCATTTATCAGACTGTTAATCCTGAGTACACCCTCCTCGACACCTCCTTGCCCACCAGACTCTAGCAAGAGTCAGTTTTACGAGCGTTGGTTTTCCTTTAGAAAAAGCCAGAAGTGTTTTCCACATTTCTACCTTTGGCACAGGAAGGCGGGCACAAAGAGGAATTATCATTTTTCTATTTTTTTTTCAGTTCATACTCAAGAGTTTCAAACGTCCCAGCTGGTGTATGGTGACACAGGGAGGTGGCAGTCCTTTGGAGTATGAAGTGAGGACAACCTGGGACCAGGACTAATTCTTTTTTTCTTTTTTTTTAAAAAAAGAAAAAGGGTGACCTTTTAAAAAAAATTTTAAAAATCGGGAAATGAAGGTAATGTAAAAATCAAGTAAGTGAACTAAGTAAAGGAAAGGTAAATAAATTTAAAGAATAATAGAAATAGTTACAATAATTTATATGAAATATATATATTCATACATTTACCATTCTTTATAAATATAAATACATTTTAATATATATATATTATAATATATATTTATATATCAGTTCCACTAGCATTAGATGGAATACCAGAAAAGGGGCAAAACTGGAGAAGAAAGTTGGGGGAAGAGAAGGAGTCTGGTAACCAGGGTTGTTCTGGGCAGTAGGTGGACACTCTGCAGCTCCTCTGCAGGCTGCCAGAGGGCCAGGAGAGGCTTCCCCACCTCTCTCCTGAGGTTCAAAGCCCCTCGACAGTGATGGCACTGCTCTGGAGAGCCAGGACAAGCTCTGGCTCATTTTTTGGGTGTACTGTGACCACACAGAGCCACCTTGCATTCATGGCGGATTATAAAAATCCACTGCAACCTCTGAAAAATGGCAAGCCATCGTGAAGGACAAACCCTTCACCTCCTCTGCTCCTGGGAATCACAGTTAGAGACTCAGACTCCACTGCCGGAGTCTTGGCAACTTATCAAAACGCCCTGATTTATAATAGAAAACACCAAACTTACAGGTATTCTAGGTGGAAGAGACCAGCAAAGGCATCATCTCGTATAACGGTGAAGGAGTTGGAGTTCAGCAAGCTGAAAATGGAGGAGCAAGCATGAGAAAAGCACATTAACACCTGACACACTGGATTATGCCCATTGTGTTTATTGCCCATGACCAAACTAATCTTAGCTGACTCAAGCCCATGTTGCCCCACACATAAAACACTGTGGAATGGTCTATTTAAAAAAAAAAAAAAAAAAAATCAGAGGCATAATATAATGCTAGTTCATGTCCACTGCTCCTCAGGAATAATGCTTGCTGGGACATTCACCTTGGTTAAACGCAACCTGGCCCTTGACTTTCTGGTCCCCTGAGGAGGACAAGCCACCTTCAGAGGGGTGGGGACCCCAGCTGCCCACCACCCCTCCAGACACACCAACAATTTCCAAGAGACCCTCTCAGCATCACTCCTGGGCTCCTAAGGACCAGGAATGGCTCTCATTTATGCAGTCACCATGGGGCAGAGCCTCACTCATTCTGCGTTCCCAGGGGGATGCTCCAAGCCTGACCTGCTGATGGGCCACAGAGGTCAGAAGGGAGGACAGGACACGGATCATCAGCTGGAAGCACAGATGTGCCCAGAGCACCAGAGAATCCTGCTGTCCTGGAAAAGCAAAGGCAGCGAGGAAGAGGTAGTGCTGCCTGCTCCAGGCATGGCCGTGCCCTCCCAGTGTGAGCTTCAGGGACAAAGCACATTTAGATTAGATAACAGAAAGAAATCCTTTCCTGTGAGGGTGGTGAGACACTGGAACAGGATGCCCAGAGAAGCTGTGGCTGCCCCATCCCTGGAGGGGTTCAAGGCCAGGCTGGATGGGGCTTGGAGCAACCTGGTCTGGTGGGAGGTGTCCCTGCCCATGGCAGGGGGTTGGAACTGGATGATCTTTAAGGTCCCTTCCAACTCTAACCATTCTATCATTCTACATCAGAGCCACCCCAGAGTGGCTGTCACCTGAGCCAGCACAAGGCAGTCAGCGAGAAGGAAAGGGCTTTGCCAGCAAAGTTCCTTCTCTGCTGAATCACAGCACAACAGTGGATGATCCCCAACCTCCAAAGGCACAGAGAGCGATCTCCTTCTAAGAAAACAGCAAAACTTCTCATTCAGTCTAAAAATTGAACACTACTCAAAAGAAAGAATTTTTCAAAAATCTCAGCATTTTCCGCTACAAGTGAATATGTCTGCACTAATCACTTTATTAAAGTAATATTAATCCTCTTCTTGTATGGTTTTAGGCATTTTACTGAAATTAATTTAGAGGACTAATGAACATTTTCCCTGGATCCTCGGTTATTATGCTAATGTTTGACAAATGCTCCTTAAATTATCCCAAAGAAATCTGAGGAAGGTGCAGGCCACCATCAAAAATGAATCCTTGCATTACTATTTTACCCTGGCTACTGCCAGAAAGGACATAGTCCTGAGGTACCCAAGTGCTCAATTACGCATGTATCTCTTCCGTCACTTAATCTTTCCTTTTTTTTTTTTTTAAATTCCTGTTTGAAGGGAGAAGTCACAAATTACACTAACTGACACAATTTGTCAGGGCCTGAGGCGCTGGTGGTGACAAACCCCTCTCGCTCCCACCTCTGATCTACCACATAAAGTGGTGACACGGGCAACTTCCAACTTTCCCAACAACCGACTTCTGCCCCACCACCCCAACATCTCCTCCTGGAAATCTCCTAGGGCTAAGGAAAAGGGATAACCTTCCTCTGCTCTTCCTCCCTCTTCCCAGTACCACTATCCAAAACCAGCCGGCTAAGGAAAAGGGATAACCTTCATCTGCTCTTCCTCTTCCCAGTACCACTATCCAAAACCAGCTGGATTCCACCCATCTCTGATTTTCCACCCACAGTTTCTCTCTAAAATAGAATAGATAAAATAGAAATACCCACTCTCTACCCACTCTTGGATTCATGCCTTTGCCCCCATCCGCCGGCAGACAAAGCCCCCCTGCCCTCTGCCCAGAGTGGTGGCAGAGGCCTCTGTGGTGACCCTCAAGTCCCACAAAAACTTGGGTTTGGGACTGCTGCCACGCTAAAGAAGGGGAAAGCGTCCCCTCCTTGCTTTGCCCACTTCTCCCTAGCTTTTTCCACGGGGTGCTGCTCCCCAAAAACCAGCAAGAATGAGGTGGAGGTGCCCGAGGAGAGAGGATGCTGGCCACCAGGCTACCAAATGCTTTTAGAGACTGGTCTCTTGCCCAGACCAATTTTAACACCTAGCCTTGAGGCAAGCGCTTGGCCTGGTTTTCTGGTGTGCCTTGCATCTTTTTGCCAAATTTCAATTTGTCCGTGCTTGGGGGGTAACCTGCTCCTTCCAGGGGGGAAGGTGTGGAGGGTCCCCCTTGGTGTTGGGCATTACAGGTGAGCTGCAGTGGGCTAGCCAGGGCACAGGCAGCGGCACGGCTTCTCTGTGGACTACCAAGTCTCCAGGCTCCCCAGTATCTCCATGCCTTCCCTGCTACTGCCCCCCAGGACAGCTAAATGAGAGCAAATTTGGGTATTCACACTCCTGGCTGCAACCAAGGGACTTGCCCAGGGTCAGGGAGGAGGGAGGGCTGCAGCGTGCTGGGAGGTGGGCCACCGGCTCGTGGGATAGAGGACCACCAGGTCATCCAGGAGGGCCACCTTCCGGGTGGGATGCTGAAGCAGAAAGTCATGCTGCAGACACCAGAGAGGCTTTCCTCCCCAACGTGTCCCGCTCGCCCCCCAAATCGTGCCCGAAACATCCCGAAACCAAAGCAAGACTCACGGGCAAAAAGTGAGCAGGAGTGAGAACCACCACATGACACCAGGGAGGAGAAAAAACTCAGCCCCGAACTTATTAAAGATTGAAATTTTAAGATAAGGAACTCAGGGCTTCAGAAAACATTTTTTTCTCCTTCCGCAACTAAACACACAGTTTTTATGAAGTGGTTTATGAGCGGAAAATGCTCCCCTCTGTTACGAAAGAGCAGCTCCATCAGCACAAGCCGGGGCTTCACCCCTTCCCTCCCTTTCACCAAGGGCACCCCCCCCCCCCCCCCCCCTTTCCCCCGCCGGTAAGTCTAATTAGGGCGAAGTGCTAATTGGCCCCTCGCGGTACTCACAGCAGCTGCAGAGAGGGCAGGTGGGAAAACATCCTGTCCTTGAGTTCCGAGAAGGTCCCGTTGACCAGGCTCCTGGAGAAGAAACCAAGAGAAAAGCCACCCATCAAGGAAGGTTGGGGGGGGGACAGGGGACGGGGACACGCACACACCGCACAGCATCCCTTCCTCCCGCATCCCCCGCATCATCATCATCATTATTAATCATCATCATCATTACCGCCTTCCTCCCGCATCCCTCCCGAGCCCCCACAACTCACAAAGAGCCCAGGCCGGCGGGCAAGGTGCGGGGAGCCCCCGCAGCCCCCACGCACAGCGCCGACTCCCTCCAGCAGCTGCAGGGGGGCGAGCAGCGCGGTGGCCTCCGCGGAGCGGCGGTGGCCAGCGGGAGGAGGAAGAGGAGGAGGAAGATGAAGAGGATGGAGAAGGAGAAGGCCGCCATCCCGGCTTTTTTCTCCCCCCCCA